CTTCCTTTCCTATTTTTATTCCTTTTATTTCTTTCTCTTTTCTAATTGCTGTGGCTAATGTTTCCAGAACTATATTGAACAGGAGTGGTGATAGCGTGTGTGTATTTTTAACCATTGACTTTTGTTCTTTGGGTATGCATCTATGTGTGTGACCTTGGACTCAGGGAGTGTTGAGCTATATCTCCAGCCCTTTTAAAAATGTTTTAAAAATTTTTGAGATAAGGTCTTACTAGGTTACCCAAGCTGGGCTCCAATTTACTATCCTCCTGCCTTAACCGCCTTCTCCTTTTTTTTTTTCCCTCCTTTTTTCCCCGAGACCGGGTCTCTCTACGTAGTTTAGGCTGGCCTTGAAAGCACAGTGATCTCCTTGCTTTAGTCTCCTGAGTGCTGGGATGACAGATGTGTGGCACCACACCGGCCTCCCTCAGCCTTCTGAGTAGCTGGAATTATGGCTGTCTGTGAGAATTCTTTAAGACCCTGTTCCTTCACAGGAGAGTTGCCTGGGTTGGGCGATACTGTGTTGAAGGACCACTTACAATGTTCACCTTGGGTCTCCCAATGCAGTTAGCTAGTGTGACTTTTTATTCCAGATCTTTGAGAGGAAGACTTGTGGCTAGGAGTTCTCTACAGAGAAAATGTTATCTTTTTTCTCAGAAGCTGAGACAGCCCTCCTGCTGACTCTGATTTACCTCCCGAGAGCACTGCCTTTGGGGAGGGGGTCCCAGCTCTCTGTGAGGTGGGGATGGTCTCAGAGATGTCATCTGCCTTTTGCAGAGCCCAGGCTGGGGCTGGAGTGTAGCTCGGTGGTAGAGTGCTTGCTTGGCATGTGCAGGGCTCTGGGTTTGGACCTCAGCACTGCAAACATAAATAGATAAATAAATAATAACAGATCAAGCCACCTGGGATCGGCGCTAAGAAGACTAAAGCATCAGTACTGAGGGCAGTCATGCCCCCATGGGAGACTGAGACCACAGCAGTTATTGTGGGTTTTTGAGACAGGGTCTCCCTGTGTTACCCAGGCTGACCTCGAGCTCCTAGGCTCAAGGGATCCTCCTCCTTCAGCCTCTGGAGTAGCTGAGACAACAGGTGCCACTTCTGACTTTCATACTAGTTATTTTAACAGAGAGACTTTAATATCAAGGATTGGTAACTGGGTGTTCCTGCAAGACTAAGTTCTGATGGACAACCACTCCCATCCCTAGGACTGTGGGGAAAGGAGAAAGAGGCAGGAATGCATGAGACTCAGATGGCCAGCAGTGTGAAGGTGGGGTCCTCTGGGTCTGAGACTCGGAAGCTGAGGAGCAGCTCTGCCCCACCATGTCCCTGAGAGGGGCGGGATGAGGCTGGCTCCCAGGGGTCAAGAAGCCACCAACTGGATTTATCAGGGGCCTCGCAGAAGCAGTGGCGGCAGGACTCATAGTATCTGCAAGTGGACAGGAGGGAGCCCAGCCTGACCCCTCCTGCTGCTTGTGGTATCACATCACAGAGGCCAGCAACAGGTGGATTTGAGTGGAGAAGCTATCATTTAATAATTCACTCTGCTACGTAGCCCACCATGATATTGGACTCCATGGAAGACTTTAGGGAAGGAGAAACAGATCTGGAGGTTAGAAACATCCGTTTGGGCTCAAATGTGACCCAGCAGCCCCCTTCCTGGGTGTGAATCCACAGGAAGTGAGAGCAGCATGTCACCGAGACTCTGCGCACCCATGTGTACTGCAACATTATCCACAGTAGCCAAGATGTAGACCCAACTACAATGTCCATCAGTCTGCAGCTGGATAAAGAAAGTGCTGTATAGATACATGATGGAATATTATTTGGCCATAAATAAGGAAATTCTGTCATTTGCAGCAATATGAATGGAGCTGCAGGACATTGTATTAAATAAGCCAGGCGCATAAAGATAAATACTATATGTTTTTACCTACATAGGGAAGCTAAGACGTTGTCTCCACAAAAAGAACAGAGAATAAAATAGTGGTTACCAGGCCCTGGGAAGGGTATGTGGGAGAGAAGGTGGTTAGTGGTTACAGGGGGTGCAGTTGAATAGGAGGAATAATTTCTAATGTTCCTTGGCATAGTAGGATAGCTTGATTGACAATAATTAATTGTATATTTCAAGCTAGCTAGTAGAGAAGATTTTAAATGTCCCTGTGTTAGCCTTTTGTTCCTGCAACCAAATACCTGAAAAAAAATCAACTCAAGGGAAGAAAGATTTATCTTGGCTCACAGGATGGAAGTTTCAGCCCATGGTCAGCTGGCTCCATTGCTGTGGGCCCGCAGTGAGGTAGAACATCATGGTGGGGCAGAGCTGCTCCCCTCCTGGCAGTGGGGAAGCAGAGAGAGGAAAAGAGCCAGAGAGGAAGGGGCTGAGGAGAAGGTGTAGTCTCCGAGGTCACACCTCCCTCAACTTACTCTCTTCATCTAAGCTCCATCTCCTACATTTCCATCACCTTCTATCATGCCATCACATTATAATCTTTTTGTTTCTTTGTTTGTTTGTTTTTTGAGACAGGGTCTCACTATGTAGTTCGGGCTGGCTGTGAACTCACTATGTAGACCAGGCTGGCCTCGAACTCACGGCAATCCTTCTTCCTCAGCCTCCCAAGTACTGGGATTACAGGCGTGCGGCACAACACCCAGCCATCATCACATTAAAATCTCATCTGTGGATCAGAGCCTCAATCATCCAACCATCTGCCAAATACCCCACCTCTGACCACAAGTGTTTTAGGGGGCACTGTGGATCAAAACCATAAGAGTTTCTAGGCAAAGAAATGATGAATGTATAAATGTCTGAAGTGATGGATATGCCAGTTACCTTGATCTGATCATTACACATTGTATTCATGTATTGAAATGTCACACTGTACCCCATTAATATGTACAATTATAAATCAATTGAAATATTTTTTTTTTTGCTGGGCTCAAACTTGTGATCCTCCTGCTTCAGCCTCCCAGAGTGCTGGGATTACAGGCATGTGACACCATGCCCTGCTCAAAAAAATTTAAAAATTTAAAAATAAAATAAAATCCCTCTAAAGCCTGTGTCAGGACAAGACTCACCAGAGGCCTAGAAACAAAAAAAGAAATGTCTAGAAACATCGAGACTCATGCTGGAGTTTGGTGACCTCCATCACCTTCTTGGGGCCCCTGCTTCTTGCCTGGTGCCTAGGAGGTATCTAAACCAGCCAGCTCTGGTTCTCAGTCACTGTGCCTTCTCCTACCCAGGTGCTTCTGGTTACCTCATCTTTCATGTCCCCTTCCGAGAGCCGCAGTGGCTCAAACCCCAACCGTGTTCGAATTTTTGGGCCTGACAAGCTGGTCCGGACAGCAGCTGAGAAGCACTGGGACCGGATCAAAATTGTGTGCAGCCAGCCCTACAGCAAGGTAACTGGAGTGGGAGCTGGGGGTGCGGGGAACTGAGGGGCCGACAGTGAATGTGGGGGGCGTGGAGAGCTGGTGACCCCAGGGGCTTATGGGGCAGCTGGGTCCCTGTGTTCCTGGCAATGGGTTGGAATCCACCCCATGATGAGAAGCTTAGTTCCCCGGAGGGAGTCTAGGCAAGTGAATGCAACATCAGAATTGGAGTGGGAACGGGGCAGCTGACTTGCTAGAGGTGTCTACTAGACTACCAGTGAGCTAGGAGTTAACATCATGGGATTTAGAGTCAGCCTCTGGGTTCAAATCCTGTCTGTACACTTTTTTTTTTTTTTTTGGTACTGGGGATAGAACTTGGGTCCTTGTGCTTGCGCAGCAGGCGACGAAACCACTGAGCTAAATTCCCGGCCCAAACTGTCAGCTTTTTTTTTTTTTTGTACCAGGGATCGAACATGGGTCCTTGCGCTTGCAAGGCAGGCGGCGGAACCACTGAGCTAAATCCCTGGCCCTGTACCACTTTTTAGCTGTGTGAACCTGGGCAAGTGCCTACCTTCTCTGGGCTTCTGTTCCCTGATCCGATAGGGGATGCTAAGCTGTGGTCACCCTGAGACCTGAGTATGTAGTGGCCCCACACAGTACTTGTGTCCGTCTTGCCCGTGAAGCTGTCCCTGATGCTGGTCAACTGCCTTCTCTCCAGGAGGTCACTCAGGGACCCAGGCTCCTCCTGTCTTCTGGCTCTGCATCCAGTCACCAGAGGGGGGATGAACCGGGAGTATTTATGTGTTCTAGAAGTGATTCCCAGCACTCCCTCCCATTCCTAGGCAGGAATTTGAGAACATGAAAGTAGATTCACTTGCACTGGCAGCAGACTGCCAGTTGCAGTGAGGGCTAAAGGATGTGGTGCATGGGAGGTTTCGAGCTGTGCCTGCCCAGAGTTAGGACTCAGTGAAGTTCAGTGTTATCTCATTAACCTCAGGGCACCTCCTTAGACATATGTGTCCATAACAAAGGAATGGCCTACCTAAGTGAGAGGGTTTTGGGCTAGGCTCTGCCCTGACCCCACCCCTGCTTTCTCAGGACTCCCCCTATGGCCTGAGTTTTATACGGCTTCATAGCCCTCCAGACAAAGAGGAGGCAGAGGTCCCATCCCAGGTAAGATCTACCCGCCACGCCCCAGAGCCTTCTCCCTAATTCTCTGCCCTTACCTGCCACTAGTCCTCACACGGGCTGACCTTGTGGGACTTTAGAAGGTGACAGTGACTAAGCTTGGCCAGTTCCGGGTGAAGGAGGAGGATGAGAGCGCCAGCTCCCTGAGACCGGGGGCCCTTTTCTTCGGCAGGATAAACAAGACATCCCCAGGTGAGTGTTGAAACCTGGTCTGAGTCAGTAGAGGGTGGGGCCCTCGCCTCCTGGGTCTGAGAGAGGTGAGGGGCTGGGGCTAGAGCCCTGGGTCTGAGAAAGGAGGGCTAGGGTCTGAACTTGTGAGTCACTGCTGCCTTCTGGGAGCTACACTGTGTTCCATAGCTAGGAACTAAGGAGTCTCTGGGTCCAGCAGTCTCATAAGGGCTCCACTTTCTCCTACAGCCAAAGCCAGTGACCCAGCAGGACCCAGCTATGCAGCAGCTACACTCCAGGCCTCCACGTCTCCACTCTCCAAGGCTGTGGGCAGCACCACTAAGGTGAGGTCACCTTATTGGTGACCTCAGTAAGTGCAGGGCTGGGGTGGCTGTGAAGTTGGAAGCCTCAACTTATCCCTCCTACCCCCGCCCCCAGCCTCAGGAGTCTACCAAAGGGAAGAGGAAGTTGGATTTGAATGTAGAAGAAAGGAAGATCCCCAGCAAACCGTCAGCCCAGCTCTCACCCCCTGCCCTCAAGAGACCCAAATGTGAGCCGATAGATCCCTTGTTAAACCCAGGCTGGGCTCCTGTGTCCTCGGGGAGGTGGCCCGGGCCTGTGCTCCTGTGGCCGAGATGGGGAGGAGCTGGGCGTGTAGTCCCAGTGGTGCTGACCGAATCTGTACCCTTTGGGTCCCTAGTGCCAGCTCCCACCCGTAACCCAGCTGCAGCCCCGGTCCCTGCCACAGCACAGAGAGCTGTACCAAGGAAGCCCCGGGGAGAGGGCACCGAGCCCAGGGGAGCCCAAGCCGGCCCACAGGAGCTGGGGAAGATCCTTCAAGGTGTGGTGGTGGTGCTGAGCGGCTTCCAGAACCCCTTCCGCTCGGACCTCCGGGACAAGGCCCTGGAGCTGGGTGCCAAGTATCGGCCAGACTGGACCCCGGACAGCACTCACCTCATGTAGGCCTGTGCCCGCCTCCCCACACCCTGCTGTGCTCTTCTCCCTCTGCCTCCTCCTGGCCTCCTCTCTGTGTCCCTGCTTCTCTGCTTGTCTGCCTTTGCCGTCTTTCTGCCTCCGTGGCTCTCTGAGCCTATGCTTTCTCCACCCCTTCCTTGGTCTCACATCTCTTTCTGTTTCTCTCACATGTGTCTCACTGCCTGCCTTTCCTCGCTCTTTTCGTCCTCTCTCTGTCACCCCCTTGCCCCTCTGCACCTCAGGTCACATCTAACCAACACCCCTCAATTCTGCCTCCCACCAGCTGCGCCTTTGCGAACACCCCCAAGTACAGCCAGGTCCTAGGCCTCGGAGGCCGCATCGTGCGCAAAGAGTGGGTGCTGGACTGTTACCGCATGCGGCGGCGGCTGCCCTCCCGGAGGTGAGGTCTCACTGGGGGCACCTGTGTGGCACACGCAGCACACGCTAAGCCTGCCGCACACCCTGTGCTGGGGAATGCCAGGAACCTGGGCCTGCCAGCCAGGAGTTCAGGTGCCAGCCCAGAGTGAACTGGCTTCTGAGAAGAGGGGAGGGCTTGGGGGCCTGCAGATGAGGGACGGGGCCTGCCTGGGAGTCACAGGACTTTGGAGCCTACTCAGTGGAGAAGGATGACATCACAGGCTGCAGGACCAGCGTGTGCAGGCAGGGGTTTGGGGTGGGAGAACACAGCGCTGGGTCACGCATGGTCTTTTGGAGCAGGTCCCGAAGCCTCTGCTCTGTACTGGGCTGGGCTGTACAGCACTGGAGGCTCTTACTAAAGTGAGGGGTCAGTGTGGGGGCCCAGGGAGCCCACAGCTAGTGCAGGTCTTCAGGACGACAAGAGGTGAGCCCAGCTGAAGAGGTGGGTGAGGAGCACAGGGTGGGCAGCCTGGTGCGTTTGACCAGAGGAAGTGAAGGTGGGGCTGAGCATATGGTAGGAGGCGGATCCCTCCCTCCACCTTGGTACTGGGGATTGAACCCAGGATCGTTGTGTTGAGCTTCATCCCCAGCTCTTTTTTATTCCTTACTTGGAGATGGAATCTCACTAAGTTGCCCAGGCTGAGCTTGAACTTGCAATCCTCCTGTCTCAGCCTCCCAGAGTGCTAAGATTATCAGCACACACCACCACTCCCAGTCATGGAAGACCTTCAGGCTGGGGAAGCACGGGCTCAGATCTGAGGCCTGTGTGAGTTATACTCCATGGCCTGAATGCATTCAGAAGTGGGGCTCTGTATTGGGTGACAGTGAGTCTGGAAAGCTGGGTGGGTTCAGTTTGGGCTGGCCAGGGTCTTGGGCTCCGTCCACCTCCATGGACCCCTTGTACCTTGCTGAGGAAACCATACTTCTTTGGGAGCAAAGAGCTTTCATCTAGGTTTAACACCAACTCACTTGGCTGCATAACCATCCTGTCCTGCTCTAACAAGACACTGTTCATGGGTTGTGTTCTTTCCCTTCAGTGTGTAATGATATTTATTGCAGAAATTGTACTGGTTTGATTGCGGGGTGCTTCCCAGACCCATCTGTGGGTGTAATGTGACAATCTGCATACCTGGCATTTGCCTCTCTGAAAGTTGAAAAGTTCTAACTTCTGAACTCATCTGGCCTCTAGGGTCTCCTCTGTGAGCAGTGGGGAGTCACAGAGACCCTTGAGGGGTTCAGGCTCTGTTGGGAGGAATGGAGTATTGAGAGAATGCAGGTGGGGACCCCCGAGGAGGCTGGGGCCACAGGCATGCAAAAAGGGGTGGATTGGGAATATATTCAGGGCAGAAGGAACCACATTTGGATTGTTGTGTTCCAGAAGACCCCAAAGAGGACAGGGAGGAAAGGGGAACAAGACAAGGTATCGGATCTGTGTGTGGGTTTTAACATAAAAAAATTCAGACACATGGTGTATTTTAACGGTTCAAGGATAGAAGGAAGAGTCCCGGGAATGGCTTTCCCCACCATAATCACAAATTGAGAATGTTTTGTTGTCATTCTTTTTTTCCAGTACTAGGGATTGAACCCTGAGCCTTCCCATTGAGCTACATCCCCAGCCCTTTTTAATTTTTTTTTTTATTTTGAGACATGGTCCCTCTCAGCTGCCTAGACTGGGATCAAACTTTCGATTCTCTTGCCTCAGCCTCCCCAAGTGCTAGGATTACAGTCATGCATCACCACACTGGCTACAAATAGAGTTTTTAAAAACCTGTTTGGGGCCAGGTTGGATCTGAGTGATGGAATGCCTGTTCAGCATGCACAAGGCCCTGCCTTTGATCCCCATCCCACAAAGCGTAAGCACGAATGGTGTTTAGCAGCTGTGAAACACCAAATCATTTATGAAGGTTCTTCGATACTTCCCAGAAGGCAAAGCCCACATTCCCTTCTCCCACATGACTTGCCCTGTGATTTGGGGAAATTAAGTGATCGCTCTTTGTCCCGGTTTTCTTACCTGTAAAATCCAGCTAAAAACAGCCCCTGCCTCAGGATTCAGTGGCTGAGTATTTGTCACATGCTTAGCACAGTGCCTGATGCCTAAGAAGTTCCACATAAGCCTTCTCGTGGCTACTGCTGTTAGGCCAGGAGGATTCTGTTCTTGGAGTGTCTATGGTGGAAGGAACCATGCATATAGTGTCAGGGCTTTTAGCCTACAAGGCATCCACTGGTATCCTAGGGAAGTTGTCCCAGGACCACAGATCTGTAGATGCTCAAGTTCCTTACAAAAAAACTGGTATTTCCATGAAACGTATACACATCCTCCCATATACTCTAAATCTTCTCTAGATAATTTATATACCTACTAATATGGAAATGCTGTGTAAATATTTGTTACACTATGTTGTTTAGGGAATTATGACCAAAAGTGTGTGCGTGCTCAGTGCAGATGTGTCCTGGTCCTGGTGTCCCTCATTTTCCATCTGAGGTTGAATCCATAGAAGCGGAACCCCAGATATGGAGGGCTGATTGTGTTTTGCTTTTTCCCTAAGAGGGAGGGAACAGAGTGTGCTCAGGGCTCTGTGGCTGGGGGCCTGGCTGACTGGGGAGGGGGCCCCTGCCCTGACTGAGTGTTCAGTAAACGCCCATGGCCATGCCTCCTGAAGATCCTGCCCAGCCCCCTCAGGAGACTTGGTGCCCTGTTTGTCTGAGCCTCCGAGCCTCCATTTCTCCCCAGGTACCTCATGGCAGGGCCCGACTCCAGCAGCGAGGATGAGGTGGCCTCCCCCAGCGGCAGCAGTGGGGATGAAGCCCCCAGCCTTCCAAGAAAGGTCTGCTGCCCCTGCCTGGTGGGAGAGGGTGACATGGGTCTGCTCCAGTTCCCCAGCCTCTCCACTCCCACCTCCTGCGGGCAGCCCCCCTCATACCTGACTGCCACCCTCCTCACACAGACCCTCCCTTCTCAGTGCCCCCAGACCAAAGTCAAGCCTCCCCTGGCAGCTGGATCCAGCTCGCCCCAGAAGCCCCCAAGCCCAAAAGAGATCAAAGCAGCCTCAGTAGGACCCCAGGAAAATTCTGACACGGAGGAGCAGTCAGGTTTGAGTCTGCAGGAAGAGGGTTGGGTCTTGGATCCCTGGGTCTGAGGGAGGAGGCTGGCCCTGGACCCCGGGTCTGAGGGAGGAGGGTGACCCTGGACCCCTGGGTCCGAGGGAGGAGAAAGCTGTTACAGACAAATGAAGTAGAAGCAGAGGGGTCCCAGGTTCCAGATAACTGGATGTGGAGGTCAACTGAGGTTGAGTTTGGGATGCCTGGGTATATGCTCAGGTGCTACCTGAGAGGGAGGGTAACCAGACTTCCGAGGAGACAAAGCACTGACACCTCTCATTGACGGGGCTTCTACTTGCAGCAGGACGGGACAATGGTGCGGAAGAGTCTGGGGACACTGAGGATGAGCTGAGGAGGTAGGTTGGGGCTTGGATCAGGGCAGCCTGGCCTTGGGCATAATGGTTCACTCTGCGTGCCCACTCTGCTGCTCTCACCCACCAGGGTAGCCGAGCAGAGGGAGCACAGGCTGCCCCCTGGCCAGGAGGAGAACGGCGAGGACCCATATGCCGGCTCCACAGATGAGAACACCGATAACGAGGGTCACCCAGAGCTGCCTGAGGAGCCAATTCCCGAGCTCCCAGGTAGGAAATCCCTTCACCCCTCTGGCGTAGGACCTTGCCCCCCAGTTATGAGCTGTGACCTGCCCAGCCTGCCCTGGGAGCCCGCTGCCCCACCCGCTCCCTGCCTCAGCCACCTGCATGCTGTACTAGGCCTGTTCCCCTTCCTTTCAGCATCCTCTCTGTCTTCCGTCTTTATTGCCTCTTGACTTCTTGCTCTGACCACTCCCCTTGCTGCACAGTGCCAGGGCGAGGCCCTGGGACTCCTTTCTAAGTGTCATTAGGGCCTGCCAAGTGACAAGGACACTGCTGTCACTGGGGACCTGAGTGATGGCCACACGTATTCACTTTAATATCGCTTATTCCAGCGTGAATGCTGTGTGTACATACATTTGTGAGAAAGGAAGAAATTGGGGATGCTGCAGGGGCTCGCCGGGTAGGGGACCACGGGAGTCATGGCTTCTTCAAGTTAACAGGAAGAAAGGCAGCAGGGTCCTAGTGGAGGCAAGGTTTTGGGGTGCTAGAGGAGCTGTTCCCCAGCTTCTCACGGCTGATGACAGGATAGTACTTTGATCCTCCACAGCCCTAAAGTGGCAGTAGTCAGTGGCCTGACAGTCATGTGAAAATGGAAAGAATGATCCACCTGGAGGTCAAGGTGAGAAGGGAGCTGTCAGGACCAGGCTGCCCAGGTGGAGAAGCTGCAGCTCTTGGGTGGCTTCTGGGGCCAAGCTGATGCAGTGGTTGCAGCCCATCTGTAAGAGACACGTTGTGATAAGTCATCATGTCTTCTATTAGTAATGCCAACAAGCAAAGGAACAAACCAGCCAGCCTCGCCAGAGGCTGTGATGGGCTGCCAGCCTGGGGGCTGCTGCCTGCCATCAGGCCTGCCCACCCCGCTTGGCCTCTGCTGCAAGTGTTCTGTCCCTCTGGGGTGGTGCTGTGGACCTCAGAGGACTCACACTTACCCCTTCTACTGTCTCCTGCAGACTTCTTCCAGGGCAAACACTTCTTCCTGTATGGGGAGTTCCCCGGGGACGAGCGGCGGAAGCTCATTCGATACGTCACAGCCTTTAACGGGTCAGTCTGGGGTTGGGGGGTGATAGTCCAGGAGAGGATGGGGGACATGACAGGAAGGAGGCATTCCAGAGCAGAAGGGTGTGCCTGGCAGCGTGGGCACAGCCGGGAGGAGTGAACGCCAGCCTGTGCATTGCCTCCCTCAGGCTCCTCTCTAAAGTGAGGATCTCCCCCTCCCAAAGGGCTGGTACACTGGGAGTGTGGAGGCCCCACAGGCAGCTGCAGGGGCATCAGTGGGCCTGGAAAGGACAGAACTTTGGAGATAATCAGGAAGTGAGGTGTTGAGAGCGGGGACACTGATCCCACCATGTCCTCTGTCTCCTTTCCTCTCTCCTGCCAGGGAGCTAGAGGACTACATGAGTGACCGAGTCCAGTTTGTGATCACGGCACAGGAATGGGACTCTAGCTTTGAGGAGGTGAGCCCTGGAGGTGGGGAGGGGGCCAGAGGAAGGGAGACCCTGACCCCCCCTTTACACACCCCCGCTCCCCAATTATATGTTCCTTTTCATAGGCCCTGATGGACAACCCTTCCCTGGCATTTGTCCGGCCCCGATGGATCTACAGTTGCAACGAGAAGCAGAAGTTGCTTCCCCACCAGCTCTACGGGGTGGTGCCGCAGGCCTGAACTGTGCACTGTGTACACGGTGCACACACACAAACGGAGTTTAATAAAGGTGACTTGGTGTGGAGCTGCTGCCCGTCTCACTCAGGAGTCTGCCAAAGCTCCAAGAGGCTGGTGGCTCATGGCTCATGTTTGGTTTTGGTCCCACTCCCTGAGGCCAGGTCTCTGAGCTGCCTTGAGGCCCTGTCCTGGGATCCAGGAAGAAGGCCTGGCTCTGTCACCAAGTGTGGTAGGGAAGGGGCTCTCTTCTCCCTGGCCCCGTGCCTCTGTGCTGAGGTGGCAGGGGGTTGGGAACTGGACCCTTGGCACTGCTCCTCGGTCTGTTCTGACCTTCAAGCCTTTCCTGGGTTGCCCTTCTGTGGGACGTGGGCTGGAGGTCTGGATGCCCATGTGATCGGCCACTCTCTTAGTCTGTCTCAGTCTGCCTCCTCCAGGGGCAGAGCCCTTGCCCCAGGGTTCTCAGAGGTGGCTGCAGGTGTAGCATTCCCTGCATAGTGCCTAATCCACGAGGCAGAAACCAAGGAAGGGCATCTTAAGCAGCTCATGTAAATCCTGGACCTTTTCAAGGCTCCACCACACTAAAGGTGGGGAGTAAGCTGAGTGTTGGGCAGTGGGGCAGAAGACAGGATGATGGCACTGTAGGCAGGGCCACAGCAGGCCAAAGGAGATAGGAACACACAGTTGGAGGGGCATTGCTGCTTCCTTGAGGAAGCTTTTGGGACAGATTTAGCTGGAAAGCTGGGTACAGCCCTTGAAGCTGTGCTGACCAGCGTGGAAGCCACTGGACTTGGCAGCTATTTAATGAAAGCAAAACGAAAACTTCCTCGGTAGCACAGGTATACATTTTCAGGTGCTCCACGGGGACTCCTGACAGCAGGGAGCAAGCGCTCCATCACCCTGGAAAGTTCTTTCGGACAGGGTTGCCCCAAGGGGCTGTGAGCTTGTCTGAGGAGCCTGGACTTTGGGGGGTGGGAGAGAGTCTTATGAGAGCTGACTTTGGGTAACTTTGGGCATTCCAAGCCCTTTCGGGACTTGGCCTCACCACCCAGTCGCACTGCCTTCCTTCCCAGACCTTTGTCTTGTCATTGACAAGATGAGGATAGCAGTGGGCTGCATGTGCTCATCTGTTCAGTCATTCACACTTGGGGTACTGACCCCTCACTGCCACCCTTTTCTGGGACTGCTGAAACAAATATTTGCAAACTCAGTGGTTTTAAACAACAGATGTACTGTATTTCAGGTCTTGGAGGTGTGAAGTCCAGAATGGGTATCTGGGATAAAAATGAAGGTATGGGCTCAGCCGCAATCCTTTTGCGGCCTCTAGAGGTGAGTCTGCCTTCATGTGTAGCCGGTGCTACCACACCTAGCCCCATTTTCTTAAATCTCTTTTTTTGGGGGGTAGGGTTACCAGGGATCAAACTCAGGACCTTACGCTTGAGAGGCAAGTGCTGGCACCACTAAGCTAAATCCCCGACCCTTAATCTCCGCTTTAGTCAATTGATTCACAACTTTAATTCCTTCTTTTACCATAATTTTCCTTTGTCACATATTCTCAGGTTCCAGGGGTTAAGACATGAGCATCCTCGGGGGCCATTATTCTGTTCACTGTGCACAAGACACTGGGGATGCACCATGAAAACACCAGCCCCTGATCACACAGGGCTGACTTGTGCTAGGCAGGGAAAGATGCTGAGTGTGTAATGCAGCACTGGGGTACAATTTGGGGTACACCTTTTGTCCCTAAAGGGTACTTTCTTGCTTCTGTGGTTACTAAAATAATTCTTATTTTCTTCTAAATATCTTAGAGTTCTGCTCCTCAAATTTAGATCTTAAATTTGTGTATGGTGTGAGGTAGGATCAATATTCATTTCCTATTGCTGGTATAACAGATCACTTCAAGCTTAGTGGTTTTAAACAACACAGATTTATTTTCTTATACTTCTGGAGATCAGTAGTCCAAACTCAGGCTCATCTGAAAGGAAAGTGTCCACAGCCCTGGAAGCTCTCCAGAGGAGTCCATTTCTTTGCATTTCCTTGCTTCTACAGGCTACCCAAATTCCTTAGCACTCCTCTCTGCCCTGTTTCCCATATAAGGACCTTTGTGATCCCATTAGGCCTACCCAAATAATCAGAGATTCTTAAACATATACAAGCTCCCCTTTGTTGTGTGTGTGCTGACATAGAGATTCTAGAGATCATACCAAGACATACTTAGGGGGCATTATTCTGCATACCATAGGATCCCATTGAACTATATATTCCAGCCTCATTTACTGATAAGTTTGTCCTTGCCCTTTTCATCTATAGCAGGAGGTGGTAAATTGAAGCCCAGAGGCAAAATCTAGCCCACTGACTTTCTGAAGTTTTATTAGAACACAGCCACACCCCTTCATGTATGTGTGATACTGTGTATAGCTGCTTTTCCACTACAGCAGCAGAATTGACTATTTGTGGCAGACACTATGCCCTGCAAAACCTAAGAATATATATTATCCGGCTGGGCCTGACGGCTTAATCTTATAATCCCCGCACTCTGGGAGGCTCAGGCAGGAAGACTGCAAGTTCAAGACCAGCCTGGGCAACTCAACAAGACCCTGTCTCAAAAAATAAAAAGGGGTGGGTATGTAGCTCAGTGTGAAGCCCCAGTACTGGGGAGAGAATCAGAATATACACTGTCAGACCCCTTACAGGAAAGCCTGTCCATCTATAGGTAGGGTTTGTCATATATCAGTGTAAATGCAGGTCTGTTTCTACAGATCTCAGTTCCTTTCAATTGACTTCCCAAGCCAACACCACAGACTTTACTACAGCCTTTTTACAATTCTTGTATCTGGGGAAAGTGAGACAAAACAAGGCTCCCATACTTCTGGCTTTGGGATTTCTTTTTTGGGGGGGGGGATACCTGGGGATTGAACCCAGGGCCTCACACCTGGTAGACAAGAATCCCATCACTGATCTAAATCCCCAGCCCCATAAAGGTCTTGCTGAGTTGCCCAGCCTAGGGTAGAACTTTCGATCCTCTTGCCTCAGCCTCCCAAACTGGGGGGGCTGTATCACCATGCCTTTTTTTGAGTCACTACTTGGTTAAGTGTCCACTGTCCTCACTGGGCCAAGTCTGTCTTCACTGCTGTGTCCCTAATGTCCCATGCAGGGTGGAGCACACAGTAGGTACGTAGTATAATCTATGGAATAAAGAGTGGTCCTATGCTAGGCCTGCTAGGTCGTTCACTCTTACCTTAGGGTGGGGAAGACATCCGAAAGGGAACTGACCTTGCCTGAGATGATGCTTGCCCCTTCCCAATGCCTTAAGACATCCTTGTTTTACAGATAAGGCACAAGTCCAGAGAAGTGACAGTGTTTGTCCATGGACTCACACCTCCAAACAAGGCAGGCAGGGCTGGCTCCAAGGTTTGGGCTTTCCAATGTTTGAGTACTGTCGGGGATGCTCTTTATTCTTCCCGTATCACCTTGTGTATCTCCGGGCTCGTTCCACACCAGGGGATAGAGTGATGACTTTATTTCTACAGCTGTCTATTCCATTTCATGGCAGCATCATCATTTGTCGCTGGCCCCCAGTGATGGGCACATGGGTTGTTTAAAATCTGGCCACAGCCGTCATGCTGCAGTGAACATCCTTACCTTCATGCCCCTTCCCCATGCTTGAGCTTATAGGATAAATTCCTACAGGTGGAATCATTTCAGCAGGGAAGTGTGTGTCTTAAATGGTCATGTGGCCAAGGTGGGGTCATTAAGTTAAACCTTGATTCAACACAATAGAGAGCCTGTTTGCCCACATTCCTCACCAACCCAGGATACCTGCTGACTTTTTACCTTTGCCAGAGAAGTGGGAGGGGAGAACCAGACAAAGCCAGCCACACCAAACCATAGCTGCAGGTCCGTAGTTTTGGACCCAGTGCTAAGTCTGGTTGACACCTGCCCCTCAGGCCAGCACAGTTCCCCAGCCTTCTACTTTCAGGCCTGGTATAAACGGCCAGTCTCTTCCTGGCAGCTCAATAGAAGCAGCAAATCCGTACAGCCAGCCTAGGAATCCCACCTGTTTATTGATGGGCAGGCAGCAGAGGGGGCCCGTGAGCCACTGGGAGGGCTCACTCTCTTTCTCCCTGTCCCTCCGCCTGGTGATGGCCTCGCTGGTGCACAAGCAGGAGGCGTCTCTGGCCGAAGGCCTGGCCACAGGTGGAGCATCGGTGCCGGCTGGCGGCCTGGCTGCCCGGCGCAGTGGGGGGGTCATGACAGAGGCGATGGGCGGCCAGCTTGGAGGGGAATGAGAAGGCCTTGGGGCAGTGGGGGCAAGGATAGGGGCGAGCGTCGGTGGCGTGGTGCGTGTGGCGGTGGGCTGCCAGCTTAGAGGGGTAGCAGAAGGACTTGGAGCAGTCAGGGCACGGGTAGGGGCGGGTGGGCGCGTGGGTCCAGAGATGAGCCGCCAGCTTGGAGCGGTGGCCAAAAGCCTTTGGGCAGTGTGGGCACAGATGCGGGCGAGCGCCACTGTGCGTGAGGCGGTGCGCTGCCAGCTTGGAGGGGTAGGAGAAGGCCTTGGGGCAGTCGGGGCACGGGTGGGGCCGGGTGCCGCCGTGCGCTAACCGGTGCGTGGCCAGCTTGGACGGGTAGGAGAAGGCCTTGTCACAGTCAGGGCAGCGGTGCGGGCGCTGGGGCGGGGGCCGCCGGCGGGGCCGGGAGGTTGCGCCCCCAGCTGCGGTGGGCCCTGGAGCCGACTGGCTGGGTTTCTGTGACTGGTTTGGTTTCTGCTGCCGGCCCTGGTGGGGATCTGGGGGACAGGAGGGCTGGTGGGCTTCAGGAAGCACTCAACACGCTAATCCTGTGCCAGGGTCCGACAACACCTTGATCCTGGAGGGGCCTCTCAAAGTGTATCTGAGCATTTCAGCCATTACACTGATGCATTCCCCAAATGGCATCCTTTCTGCTTCCTTTCTCCCCCCACGAATCATCCTAAAGGGCTCCAATGGGTTACGTTTCTGTACCCCCAAACTACTAAGACTTCCCCAAAGTGACTATGGTATCCATTTCCAGTCTTTCCAGGGGTCACCCTGAAACCCCACGTATCAACCCCCCTCCCCCGTGCCTCCTGTAATTTCCTGAGCCCTAGCAAATGCTGACCGGGGGTCTCCCAAAACCAGATGGAAAGATTCCCCAGAATGATGCATTTTGGGGATCCCAAATAGTCATAATCCTGGTCCTACAAACTTTCACCCCAAGATTCCTCTACAAGAGTCTTTTAGCCCCTATTCCTGGGGAATGATCCCTACCCACAGGCTGACCCTCTCACCTCCTCCTTTGGTCACCATGTCCTTGCCTGAGGGGCTAGGATCAGTGCTCCGGGCCTGAGATTTCGCGCCTCTCTCCAACATCCTGCCGGCACGGGAACCTAGGGGCTGGGGGGATGGGAGGTGATTACCAGGTTGATGAGGGCAGTGTTAGAGGGCCAAATTCAGCTTGTCAGCTCGTTTAGGGCCAGGTTCTCCGTAACTCTGGGAGGGTTCAGGCTAGGCCAGGGGTGAGGGGAAGGCAACGCCTAAGAGCACAATGGGCCGGCCTATGCAAATTTAAACCAAGAGCCCGTCTCTTTGCAATTTAAACCCACGACTGGGGCTTTGCCGGGGCGGGGGGGGGGGGTAGCGGGGAGTAGGCGGATACTCCAAGAAACAAACCCCGGTACCTTCCCCTCCTGCTCGAGGACTGCGAGGGCGGCTGGAACGGGGGTGGGCGGAGCGGGCGGAGCTATACCGAAACGACCAAAATCAGCAGCTCCGCGACTCAGGCCCTGGGGCGGGGCCTGGGCCGGTGTGGGCGGGCCCTTTGCACTTCTGTCCCAGGGGAGGGGGTTTTGAGTGCCGTGGGCGGGGTCTCACGTCCAAGAGGTGGTTTACCCGTGCTTCTGCCTTAGGCTCAGTCTATCACTGCTGCATCGACCGCGTCCTTCCTGTCGTTAAATTTCATTCTCTACGTCGTTGAGGTCGTGTAGGATGGAGGGGGGCCTGGAGAGAGACGGAAGGGACGTGGCTTGTGCAGCAGCCCTGAGCCTCCTAGTGAGCTTTTCCCTCGGGGATCCACGCATCCCGCCCTCAGTGCGCCCCTCAGAACAGAGGCATTCGGGCACCCATGCAGTCCCATCCGGACCCCAATTGATCCCCCTGGGGGAGATCCAGGCGTCGAGACCCCAAGCCATTTCCCGAGGACCAGGCGCCTCCACCTGGACCCCACCCTTCTCACCTGCAAGGCGGCCCCTCCCGGGGCGGGGCTCCGGGCCCCTCCCGCCTCGGCCGCTGTTGCAGCGTCTTCAGTTTCCGCCGCGCAGCCCTCGGACCCGCTGGGCCCGCCGACGGGGGAGCGGAGGGGAGGGGAGGAGGGAGCCCCGCGAGCAGCCGGGCCCAGCCTCATTCCCATTCCCTCCTCCCGCGCGGGGCCGGAGGGGGCGTCTGCACGCGTGCGCAGTGTCGGCCAGCAGAAGCTGCGGAGGGGGAAGAAGGAAGGGGGAGGGTGGGAGCGCTGGGCGGCTGAGTTCCCGAGCGAGCACGAAGCTGCGGCCGAAGGAACGCGGGAAAGCGCACCGCGGCTGCGGGGCCTACGGTGGCTGAGTGGAGTCAAGCGCAGGTCGGACAAAAGTGGACCACCTGCGCTTGGAGATCCCTGAGACAGCTCCCACCACGTGCAGCCCTCTTTATTAATCCCCTTCTTTCACAGCGATCCTCAATTCCGTCTCTGCGGCAGTTTCGAAATTTGCTGCCAGTTCCAGCCCTCCGGGCACTTGCAGAAAAGTCTTTCTTCTCCAAGATAGGAGAGCGAGTTGGCCCCCAATAAAAGACATCGTGTTTGCCTAACGCCCCGGCACCCTTCCCATTGTGATCCAAGATTCTCAGCACCCCAAGCTATCTCCTCTCCCTGGCCAGGGTGGTCCAGGCGACCAGGCTGGGAAGGCACGCGGCTGAGCATTCTTCCCAGGCAGTGACCGTACAAGTGCTGGAATGACCATGATGTTCCTATAAAAGCCGACTCCGAACGGTGGGTCTCCAGCCTGATAATCCACATGGTCGGGCGATGTCTGAGAGCCGTCGGAGTTATTTGATGGGTTATTTGGATTCTGGAGCCAGAACGCCTGGAGTAACTGCTTTCCACTCTAGCGGTGTGACCTTGGCCAGGTGACTTCATTTTTCTGTTTCCTCATATATAACATAGAGGGTTCTTGGGATTAAATTCAATAATCAATGGAAAATATTTAGAATACAGAATGGCCGGAGTGCTCAATGAATGTTATCAATATTTTTGTTTTTGTTGGCCATGGAACTTGGCCTGATTCGGTCAAGTTGTCCCAGGAACAACTTGACAGGCATGAAATAAACAGACCTCAAGAAAGACCGTACTGTGTTAGGGGATCTCTCCTTTCCTGTCTTGCAATGCTGCAGACTCTAGCCTTCCTTCCAGGTCTCCTGTGAGCCATAGGGCATTGCCCTTAGCTGTTCCCTCTTTCCCCAGTAGCTTTCCTCCTTCTCTTTGCCTGAGCTGCTCCTCATGTCTCAACTCAGATGCTACCATAGCCTCTTTGCCTCTCACCGTTTTGGGGGTTTTTTCTCACCATTTCTTATGGAGCCCTCTTCCCTTCATTCCGGTGTTGTCCCCTCCCTCTTACCACCATACACCTGTCTTCTTAGACTGTGCTCAGTTATGATAGACAACTTGCCTACCTTGTTTATCTCTCTGTTCCCAGAATCCAGAACAGGGCTTAGCACATAGTAAATATTCAATGAATTTGTTGAATAAATCCTTGAAAGAATTAACAGCAGGAAGCCCTCTGTGGTAGACAGAGAGAATGATGGGGAGAATGCACAGCTTGAGGTGAAGGAGCTTAGCTCGGAGGGGCCTAAGCAGAGTATGAAACCAGGAGTTTAAACACGAAATGGGGCTGGGGGTGTAGGTTAGTGGTGGAGCATTGCCTACTATGCCCTGGGTTCCATCCCCAGCACAGGAAAAAAAATTAGGGGATCAGAGAAACAGAAAGTGTCATGAACTGGTTTAGGTTTAAAGATTTATGCCTTCAAGTGAGAATGTGGGTAGTGGCATGTAGGCATCTGGAGTGGAAGTCTAGATACCTTCTTACACACCCAAGAATTGCTTCTGGGGTTCAGGGAAATGATTTTTTTTTTTCTTCAGTACTGGGGATTGAACTCAGGACCTTGGCTTGCAAGGCAGGCACAGTGCAGCTGAGCTACATCCCTAGCCCTCGGGGAAGTGATTATGATGTTTATTGCCATTTTTCTTCCATGTTACTTTGGAATTCCAAAATGTCTTCCCTGTCCCTTTTAGATGCTCAGTGTTCCCTCAGGGGCCTTAATCATGTAAGAAACTTATGAAAGAAAAAATTTTAATCTACATCAGGTCTCAGCACAAGACCAGGTGGTCTTTATTTTTTAGTTAACTTTATCGGTACAAGTTTGGAGTACATAATATTTACATCCATCTTAGGGAGTAGGTACATGTACTTAACATATCTTGATTCTTTTTATTCCCTTTCTCTTTTCCTTCCTCCTCCCTCCTTCCATCTCTAGGTCCCCTTCCCTCATTTTCTTCTTTTTTGTTCATGTTTACAACTCATAGTGATTACATATTACATTCATTGTGGGTAGTCGGTACATGTACATGACATATCTTAATTTTTTTTTTTTGGTACTGGGGATGGAACTCAGGACCTTGTGCTTGAGAGGCAGCCTCGGCACCACTGAGCTAAATCCCCGGCCCAATTTTTAGTTTTTTGAGACAGGGACTCACTATATAGTTCAACTTGGCTTTGAACTCACTATGCAGCCCAGGATGGCCTTGAACACATAGTGATCCTCCTGCCTCAGCCTCCTGAGTGCTGGGATTACTGGTGTGCACCACCACACCCAACCAAATTTACTATTCTTTTAAAAAAATTTACTATTCTTTATAGCAGAGTAGTATTCCATTTTGTACAGGTGTCACATTTTCTTTATCCATTTGGCTGTTGATGGACATATAGATTGCTTCCCAGCTTTAGCTGTTATGAATTATGCTGCTGGCCAGGCATGGTGGTACACACCTGTAATCCCAGCACTCAGGAGGCTGAAACAGGAGGATCACTCCAAGTTTGAGGCCAGCCTGAGCTACATAATGAGATGCTGTCTCAAAAAGAAAAATTATGCTGCTATAAACATAGGTATCCCTGTATCACTGTAATATGACTTTAACTTGTTCAGGAAGATATCTAGAAAGGGAATAGCTGGATCCAGTGAAATTTCTATTTTTAGTTTTTTGAGGAATCTCAATTCTGATTTCCATAATGGTTGTACTAATTTACATTCCCACCAGCAATGTAGAAGGATTCCCTTTTCATCACAGCCATGTCAGCATTAATTGAGTTCCTGGTGATTGCCATTCTTTCTGGAGTAAGCTGAAATCTCAGTGTTGTTTTAATTTGCATTTTTTTTTTGGTACCAGGGATCAAACTTGAGTCCTTGTGCTTGCAAGGCAGGTGGCGGAACCACTGAGCTAAATTCCCGGCCCAATTTGCATTTTTCTAATGGCCAGAGACGTTGAACATTTTTTCATCTACTTATTGGGGATTTGTATTTCTTCTTTTGAGAAGTGTCAGGGACTGGGGATTTAGCTCAGTGGTGCCACACCTTCACTGCAAGTGCAAGGTCCTGAGTTAGATCCCTGGTACCAAAAAAAAGAAAGATGTCTGTTCATTTTTGTGGTCCATTATTTTGATTGGGTCTTTTATGGGGGGGGGGCTCTGATTTTTTTAGAGTTTTTTTATATATTCTAGATATTAGCCCTCTGTTTTAGGTATAGCTGGAAAAAAAATTTTCCCATTCTGTAGCTTGTCTTCACTTTGTTGGTTGTTTCCTTTGCTGTGGAGAAGATTGTCAATTTAATATAATCTCACTTGTCGACTCTTGATGTTATTTCTTGTGTAATTGGAGTTCTGTTCAGAAAATCCTTGCCTATCCCTATGTCTTCAAGAGTTTTACCTGTTTTTTCTTCCATCAGGTTAAGTGTATCTGTTTTAATGTTTACATCTCTATCCATTTTGATTTTAGTTAAGTACATGGTAAGAGATCTGGGTTTAGATTCAATCTGCATGTGGATAGCCAGTTTCCCAGCACCATCTGTTAGAGGCTGTCTTCCTCCAGTGTATGTTTTTGGCCCCTTTGTGGAAGATCAGATGGCTGACTATGTCTGAGTTATTTCTGCATTTTCTGTTCTGTTGATATACATGTCTATTTTTCTGCCAACACCATGCTGTTTTTATCACTGTAACTTTGTAGTATAACTTGAAGCCAGGTATTGTGATGTCTCCTATCTTGCTACTGTTGCCTAGGATTGCTTTTTCTATTCTGGATCTTTTTTGTTCCATATGAATTTTAATATTGTTTTCTTTAGTTCTGTGAGAAATGTTGCTGGCATTTTGATTAAGATTGCATTAAATCTGTGTGTCAGTTTTGGAAGTATGGCCATTTTGACAATATTGGTTCTGCTATCCAGGAACAAGGCCTATCTTTCCATTTTCTGATAACTTCTTCAGTCTCATTTTTCAGGTTTTATAGTTTTCACCTATAGATGTAAACTATACATCTACAGATGTGGAGATCTCTTATTTCCTTGGTTAGGTTAATTCCTAAGTATTTAATTGTTCTTGATGCTATTGAGAATGGAATTGTTTTCCTATTGATTTTTGCATGTTGATTTTGTATCCTGCCACATTGCTGAATTTGGTTACTGATTTCAGAAGTCTTTTGTTGGAATTTTTTGGATCTTCTACATAAAGGATCATATCATCCTCAAATAATGATAATTTGATTTCATCTTTTTCTGTTGCCTGATTGCCCTGGCTAATGTTTTGAGTATATTGAACAGGAGTGGCGATAGTAGACATTCTTGCCTTTTTCCTTATTTTAGAGGGAAAGCTTTCAGTTTAAGCCCACATATTCTTTAAACATTGTTGCCTTTTCTGGTATCACTGGGACCTGGGTTATGGCACCCAGGTATGCTGTGTGCCTTTTTCTGAAAAGAGACAGTTCTGTGTCATACTGAATGTGCATAATGTATAACCCTAAAATGTTATTGTGCTCTGTAGGATCGCTTTGGGTCTGAGACCTAATGAATGATTATATATGTATTATGCACCAAGCTCTTTGTTTCTTCATTTAACCATAACTTGGCAAAACATGCTATTTTGGAACTCCTTAGTCCCTCAGGCTCACTAATGTGTACCTGCCTACCATCATCAGGGTTTGAGTTTCTCCATGGTGCCATCAATACCTTTTTCCCTCCCTTTTTGATTGTTTTTTATTTTGAGACAAGGTCTCACTATGTAGTCCAGGCTGCCCTTAACCTTGCAGCGATCCTCCTGCCTCAGCCTTCTAAACCCAAGTTCTCAGATTACAGACATGCATCACCAAGCCCAGCTTTTTTTTTGGTTTTTTGAGACAAGGTCTCACTGTGTAGTCAGGCTAGCCTTGAGCTCACTGTGCAGTACCACGCCCAGCCCTCCATTGCCATTTAAAAAGGCACCCTCTGGTTGCCACCTGAAAAATGGATCTTCAGGAGGCAAGCAGAAGCCAGAAAACCAGTGAGGCCACTTATATATTAATTACAATTTAATTGCTAGCATTTAATAAGTACTTCTGTACTAGAAACTGTCCTTACATGTATTAATTATTTAATCACAGCAATTTATTAAGAGGAAGTGCTACACTGCTGTTCTTGAACAGAAGAAAAAACTGAGGCATGAAGGGGAAAGTTGGGAGCCTAAGGTCACGCAGCCAGGCCCCAGCCAAGAACAGCGGAGCCAGGATTTGAACCCTGCAGGCTGGCCCTGAAGTCCAGGCTCTTTGCACTGTTGCTCTGCAGCCTCTAGACTGGGAAAGGTGTGGTGATGGAAAAGGAGCCCAACTGGGGCCAGGAGATGGACTGAGTGGAGAGGGAAGGGGAGGAATGCGTGTAGGACCGAGAAGTCACCATGGCCAGGGCCCACTGAGCTTGTGCTGTGCCAGGCACACTTGCAGGCTAAGGTGCAAACTCACTGGGTCTTCGTGGAGGAGGAAGGAACTATTTGCAGCCTTGTTTTACAGAAGAGAACACTGAGGCCCAGAAAAAAGCAAGTTTTCAGCCCAGAAAGATGAAGCCAAGGTTTCTAATGCTTAGGATGTCTCACAGCTGAGCCTACAGAAATCCCGGAAGCCCTTCCAGGGTCAGGTAAGTGGCCTAGAATCCTGTGAACACATAAGGAAAGGAGGGAGGACCAGGAGGTCTGTGTGGGGGCCCTCACAGTAAAGTGGTGGTGAGGGTCCCCTTTTCCCTGGCTTCTCCCTTCTCTGAGCTCCCCCAGTCCCTGCACCTCCCAATGTCTCCACCTTTCTGCCTTATGTCCCTAACTGGAGACTGAGCCCTGGGGCCCAGCATCACCCAGCCTGGCCCAGCTGTGCAGGGGACTTTGTGGCTGGAATAAATGAGCCACGCACTCTTGGCTCCAAGTGTTTCTTTCCACCGGGTTCTCTCCTCTCCTGCTGTCTGTTCTGTGCCTCTCTCCACAGTACTCCCTGTTCTGATCTACCAGCACCTCTTCCCATCTCTCAGCATCCTCCGGAATCTCCAAGGGTATCTTGTGACTCCATTTCTGTGTAGGAATCCTGTGTCATCCCCTCCTCCCCTTTACCTGTGAGTGGCTCTTTGGGTCTCCTTCCCTATCTCTGCCTGTCATCTCCCTTGTCTCTGAGTGGCTCTCTGAGTTTTTCCTCCAATGAAGGCCACCAGAAATGCACCAGGAGCCTGGAAAACTGGGTTTGGTTTTATCTATGGAGAGATCCTGCAATCCTCCTGCCTTAGCCTCCCAAGTACTGGGATTATACCACCACCCGGCAAAGTTGGATTTTACTGACTTGCCATAGTTTAGGGGAGAGGACCATAGAGGAACCCCTGGCTGGCTCTCCAAACACAGGGTGAGAGGGGCTCACCGAAGACTTGGTGGCTTTTGCATGAAATTTAGTGAAGCAGGTTAGTCTCAAAGCAAAGCAGAGCTGTGAAGAGGGAGTAATGTGTGGTATGTTCTGAGGATCCCTCTAGGGCCTGGGAACTCCAGAGTTAAAATAAAGGTAGAGGTTTGGTGGCACAGGCCTGTAAGCCATGAACTCTGGGAGGCTGAGGCAGGAGGATCACAGATTTGAGCCTAGCCTGGGCTACATAGTGACTTAGCAAGACCTTGTCTCAAAATGAAAAATGAAGAATGATGGTGGATGTAGCACAGTGCAAAGGTCCTGGGTTCATTTCCCCAGTACTGGCGGGGGATAAAGGTAGACTGTTATTGCTAGAACTCCCTCAGCTCTGTACCTACGATGGAAATTGAGGGAGCTTCACTGTGACAAGTGTTTTTTTGTGGGGTTTTTTTGGTACCAGGGATTGAACTTGGGACCTTGAGCTTGCGCAGCAGGCGATGAAACCGCTGAGCTAAATCCCTGGCCTGATTTTTAAAAATTGGTACATTTTAGATATACATAATAACATTCATCGTAGGAAATTTGTACCTGTACACGATATATCTTGCTTTTCTTTTTTGATTCCCCTCCTCTCCCTCCAACCCTTCTTCCCCTTCTTATTTACAAAAGCTTTGTTTCCATTTTTTCCTCATTCTTTTTTCTTTCCCCCTACACCCTCCCTCATTCTCCTTTTCATTTGAACAATTTCTTCCCATTTCTCAATATCTGTTATACATTTTGGTCCTTATTTCAAATTTTGGTTTCTCACACCAGAAAACGTGGTATTTAAACATGTGTGTCCGATTTATTTCACTTAAGAGTATGTGTGACAAGTGATTTAGAACTCCTGGACAAGAATGGTACCCCACTCCATCTTGAGATGGAACCCAGAACTTCCTTAGGCAAGGGCCCTATCCCTGAGTAACAGCCTGAGCCGGGAATGTCATAGTCTCACTCTTGATGATTTCAAAGATCAAACTGTGTGACTGCATGGCTTGAGGATTTCTTGGCTCTGGGTCCTTGGTGTGAATAAGCAAAAGCTGTTTTTAGAGGTTCACATCTCAACAAAAGACAAATGCTCCTCAGCCCAAGTTGCAAGAAAGAATGCAAAATTATTTATATGTGTATAAATAAATTTTATATGTCATATACATTGATGACATATGGAAAAGATTACTTCCTGGGAAGAAAAAGAAACATTTGTTAGGGTGCTTAAGGAATTTTTGGATGAATTGTAGGGGGATGAAGTATTGTTCTGATAACCAGGCACGTAGCCAACAGTCCCTCAACGCACCATGACCTTGAACCCAGCACCTTTTTCTTTCTCACAATAACTGCCTGACACCCACTTTTACTATGAAATGCCCCAGAACCATGAGCATCTGGGGGCCCTATGCCCCCCCCATCTCTGTGTGTTCCTGAGTCTCCCTGAGTTGTCTCTGTGTTCTTTGTTCCTCAGGGTCTCAAAGGGCCCCTGAGTCGCTCGACGTCTCCCTTGGTCTCTGACACCTTGTCAACACCCCAGCCCTGACCAGCGCACCCACCCTCGGCCGCGCCGGTGCCGAGGCTCCTTTAAGGCAGGCCCCGCCCCTGCCCCCACCCCCATCTGCCCTGGGCGCCGGCTCGGGCGCGTGCTTGGCGGGCTCAGTCCGGGCCCAGCGGCGGCGGCGATGGCAGGCGTGGCTCTGAGGGTCGCTAGGCGGCAGCTGAGCCAGCGCAGCCGGTCTGGAGTCCCGGTCCTCCTGCGGCAGGTGCGAGGTGGTTGGACCGGGAAATGGAATTACTGGGCCCTGGGCGGTGGGAGGGCGGAACCCCTCGGTCCTTGAAGGTCGAGACCGGGGGTCCCACGCCTGGATGCTGCAGAAAGGGGGTGGGCTTGGGGTTGGATTTCTGGGTCCCTTAAGGGAGAGCGATTAAGGGATTTTAGGCTTGTGGCAGAATTCCTAGGTACGTTATGAGAGAGGGTATTGAGCACCTTAAATTTTAAAGTATCAGTTGAGATTCCACGCCGGTCGGTCGTGCTGCGCCTGCCTGTAATCCCAGCACTCTGGAGGCCGAGGCAGGAGGATGAGTTCGAGGCCAACCTGGACTACATAGAGACACACACACACCCCAAAGAAAGTTGGGATACCTTAGTTCTGATGGAAGAAGGTGGGAAGGTGGGGCCCCTAGACTCTTCACTCTAGGGGAAAGAGGGGTTGGGGTTTCTGTTTTTGGATATCAGGAAGCGATGGAGTGGAGCCCTGGACTCGGTTCCTGGGGATGGCAGTCACCTGTGCCCCATCCCCTTCTAGATGTTTGAACCCAAGAGCTGCACCTACACCTACCTGCTGGGTGACAGAGAGACCGGAGAGGCCGTTCTGATCGACCCGGTGCTGGAGACAGCTCCTCGGGACGCCCAGTTGGTCAAGGAGCTGGGGCTGCGGCTGCTCTATGCTGGTCAGTTTGAGACCACTCTTGGGTCTGAGGGAGACTGGGACACAGAGAAAATGCAGTGGGAAACTGGAGGCCCAGAGCCCTGGGTCTGAGGAGGAGGAGGCTGGGCCTGGGAATGCTGTGTCCTTTCTGTGCCCTCCTGACCTGCCCTCCTCTCTCCCAGTGAATACCCACTGCCATGCAGACCACATCACTGGCTCAGGGGTGCTCCGATCCCTGCTTCCCGGCTGCCAGTCTGTCATCTCGCGCTGCAGTGGGGCCCAGGCTGATTTACACATTGAGGATGGCGACTCTATCCGCTTTGGACACTTTGTGAGTTGCTGGATGGCTCCCCAGGAGAGGGTGGTGGCCTAGACTCCTTCAGCTTAAGGGAAGAGGGTTCTAGGAGAGGACCTAGGTTCCTGACCCTTGAGCTCACTTTTCTGGGAGGAAGGCACTGGAAACCCAGGTGGGGCACTGGGCAGCAGGCTCTTGACAGGTGTGTCTCTGGCCGAGCCCCTTAAGTCAACATTTATGGACTTTCCTAAGGCCCCTTTGGCCTGGCCTTGCCATAAAAGTTGATTGGGGGCTGGGATTCCAAGACCAGGGCTAAGGGTAGTGAGGAAGCCGCATCCCTTGGACCAGGGCCTGGACTGTGGCAAGGTGGGAGGGGCAGGGCACATAATATTTAAGGTGGCACTCATAGGGTTACCTGTGTGCAGGGTCAGAGTCTGTAAGCTGGAACTTCCTTAAATATTGGGCCTTAGAGCTGCACCCTAGTCCCAGCCCAGCTGTTGCCTCACCCAGGAAGGGTCTGAAGGTTCCTGTCTCCTCCTAGGGTGTCTTTGCCACAGTCCTAATCAGCAGGTCTCAGCCAGAATTTCACCCCTGGGCACTGTGTGTGTGTTGGGGGGGGATTATACTCAGGGAGGAAACCATGGACAGCTTTTTTCTAATCAGAATTGCTAAAGATACAATTTAGCTAACTTTAGGGACAGAATTCTGGTGATTGGGTAAGGTCTGGGCCTGCAAGTTATTGAGTTTTGCTGAATGGAGAGTTTATTTAGAGAAGAGCATTTAGAAGAAATGAGGGCTATGTGTGGGATCCAGTTTAGCTGCAACAGTTGCAGACCATTTCAAGGTTTTTCTTGGAAACAGGTAAAAACTACTTTGAATATTTTTGTATGTTGTACATAGTAGGTGCTAACAGGCATATCTTGGATTTGAGAGGAGCCTTAAAAGGATTGGAAATGATTGGGATTTGTGTTAAGACAAGCACCACCCCACCTCCAAACTACTTTGTTTTTTTTTTTGGTACGGCAGATCGAACTCGGGTCCTTGAGCCTGCAAGGCAGGCGGCGAAACCACTGAGCTAAATCCCCAGCCCTGCTTTGGTTTTTTTGAGACAGAGTCTCCCTATGTAGTTTAGGCTGGTCCTGAACTCACTGTATACCCCAGGCTGGCCTTTTGTCTAAATTCTTTTCTTTTTTTGCTGTACCAGGGATTGAACTCAGGACCTTGAGCTTTCGAGGCAGGTGCGGCGCCACTGAGCTAAATCCCCAGCCCTTTTGTCTAAATTCTTGATCAGTATTTGGAGACAGGTCCATTTTTTTCTCCCTGTTACTGTATTTTTTCCTGTCTCTACTTCTAAAAGTTAAATTGTAGCATACATATGATAAGGGGAAAAGTGCGCAGGCGATACGTGCTGCTTGGTACGTTTTCACACGTGTGTATGGTTGAGCGCCAGCCACCCATATCCAGATACAGGATGTCATTCACCCCTCCTCCTGGCTGCTCACGCCTCTGCAAGGGACCCTTCTTGCGACTTATGTAACCACAGATAGTTCTTCGTGTTCTGGGCCTTCTGAGGAAGAATTATACAGTGGCGCCTGCGTCTGTGTTTGGCTTCTTGCACTCTATGTTGTGTTCATAGTTACAGTTCTTTCCTTCTCTTTGTTATATAGTGGGATTTGGCAAACATTTTCAGTAAAGGACCAGATAGTAAATACTATATTTTACAGGCCAGGAGATTTTTGTTGTGATCATTGGGTTCTCCAATTATAGTGTGAAAGCATCCACAGACCATGCATAGAACAGGTATGGCAGTGTTCTGATGTAACTGTATTTATGGTCTCTAAAATTTGAATTTCAGCTGGGCCTGGTTGCACAGGCCTGTAATCTCAGAACTCTGGGATGCTGAGGCAGGAAGAACCTAAATTCAAGCCCGACCTGGGGAACTTAGTGAGTTAGTGAGACGCTGTCTCACTGCTGAGGATGTAGTTCAGTGCAAAGGGCCTGGGTTCAATCCCTAGTACCTCAAAACAAGAGAGACAGAGACAGAGAGAGAGACAGAGAGAGAGAGAGAGAGAAATTGGAATTTTAGATAGTTTTCATGTGCCAAAAAATATATATATATATATATATATATATATATATATATGCACACATACATTTTGGTACCGGGGATTGAACTTGGGACCTTGCGCTTGCAAGGCAGGTGGCAGAACCACTGAACTAAATCCCCGGCCCAGAAGTATTATTATTTTGAGACAGGGTGTCGCTATGTAGTTCAGGCTGGCCTTGAACTTGCTGCAGTTTTACTGCTTTAGCTTCCTGAGTGCTGAGGTTACAGGCATGCACCACCATGCGTGGCTGAAAAAAATATTATTATGATGATTATTTTTTCCAATCATGAAAAAGTGTAAAAATCACTCTCAGCTCACCAGCCTTACAAAAACATTTGACAGGCCAAATTTGTTCCATTGGCTGTAGCTTATCAGCTTCCAGCACAGAGCATGCCATTGCACAAATACACTGGTTTATTTATCCATTCTAGTGATGGGTGTTCCTAGTTTTTGGGCAGTATGAATAATGCTGTCATGAAGATTGTCGTGTGAATCTCTTGCCCTGAATGCCAAGAAGTTGGACTTGCTGGGTCAGACAGATGCCATGTATTTAACGTTAGCAGAAATTGCCAGACAGTTGACTTGTTTTTGTTTGTTTGTTTTGTTTTATTAAGAGACACTAGGGCTGGGGATTTAGCTCAGTGGTTTCGTCGCCTGGTGCATAAGTGCAAGGACTTGAGTTCGATCCCTGGTACCAAAAAATAAAAACCATTTGGAAGAGACACTGTTGGGCCAGGGATTTAGCTCAGTGGTTCCGCTGCCTGCCTTGCAAGCAAAAGGTCCTGAGTTCAATCTCCGGTACCCTCCCAAAAAAAGAGACACTGTCTTACTGAGTTGCCCCAGCTAGTCTCAAACTCCTGGGCTCACATGATCCTCCTGTCTCACCCTCCTGAGTAGTTGGAACTACAGGAACATATGTATTTGTATATATGTATATATATTTTTAAAATGGCAAATTATTTTATGATTTTGATCCATATTCCAGTGCCTTGCTTAACCAAAATATACAAACTGCCCCAACAAAAAACAATTATCAACTCACAGCATTATGCCAAATAGTTTTCTGAACTGGTTATACATTTTACACTCAAGGTGGACCAAATTTGAATGAATGGTTTCATTATAGAATGAATTTTCTTTTGGTACCAGGGATTAAACTTGGGTCCTTGCGCTTGCGCGGCAGGCAGCGAAACCACTGAGTTAAATCCCTGGCCCCTGAATTTTCTTTTTTAATAAGCATTGGCTGAAAATCGAACATTTCAGCTCCTATGGTAGCTGGCAGATAAAATTAGGCTTTGCCTGTTAAATATGATGACTTCAAGGGGTGCTGCTCAAAGTATCAACAACTCAGGCCCCAATTTAGAGGTCCTTTAAGTGTTAGGGTTGACAAAGGGAATTAATATGTTTTCAGAGCTCCAGAGGTGATCCCAATGTGACCCACATGTAGTTTCAGTTCTCCCTCCTATTTGAAATTAAATACCTTATTTGAATTTGGAACAAGTCTTTTTTTCCCCCTAAAATTATATTAAAAAAATTCAAGCACACAAAAAAGTTGAAAAACATTTCATTGCATAGACCTCAATCTATCCTTTTTCTTTTGGCTGCCCTGGGGATTGAACACAGGGCCTCACACATGCTGGACAAGTGCTCTACCACTAACTATGCCACAGCCTCATGTTACATATTTCTTAATTTTTATCAAACCCAGGGCCTCAGGGAGGCCAAGCAAGCACCCTAGCACAGAGCTGCACCCATCCCCAGCCCCTCATGGATTTTTTTTTATTTTCAGCACTGGGGAGTTGATCCAGGGCCTTTATCGTGAGCTTTGTCCCTGTGGGGCAACCGGGGTGGAGCGAGCAGCCCCAGGATCAAAAACTCAGCACCAAGTTCAATCCCCAGTACCAAAAAGAAAAAAAAACAACAAAAAACCTCAGTACCAATAATGAATTAAAGGGATGGAGTTTAAATAAGGAAGATGATTTATTTATAAGGAGGGAAAAGCAGAAGACAGTAAGCTGCCCGAAGAGGGAGCAGGAGGCTCCGGAAAGATGGATAATACCCCTGAGCCTTGTTCCTGGCTTCTTTCATTAGGGCCTGTGACCCTTCCCTTCATGTGGGTTTTTTTTTGTTTGGTTTGGTTTGGTACCGGGGATCGAACTCAGGACCTTACACTTTTGAGGCAGGTGGCAGAACCACTGAGCTAAATGCCTGGCCCTTTCCATGTGGGTACCTGGAACTTGTCACAGTCTGGCTGTCAGCTCTCTGGCTGTCTTTGGCTCTAACCGGGCACTTTTGCCTATGTGCACATTCCTTTTGGTGGTTTTCCTTTAATTCCTTCCTGGACTTTTGTGATGCATAAATCGAGGGGGGCTTATAGAAAGGCACTTTAAAGTTAGTGATTAAGTAAGAGGATACGTGTGTATCTAGTGCAGTAATATAGTGACCCTAGAGTGAGAAATAATACAACACCAGCCCTTTTTATTTTACTTTACTTCTTTTTTTTGGTAGACAGTCTCACTTTGTAGTGCAGGCTGGCCCTGAACTCACTAGGTACCCCAGGCTGGCCTCAAACTCGCAGTGATCCTCCTGCCTCAGCCTCTTGAGTGCAGGGATTACAGGCATGCATCCCTATGCCTGGTTCCCTCATTTTATTTTCTTTATTTATTTTAGTTTTTATAGTTTATTAGTCCTCTTATGAAAACACCGCGCAATCACTCCAGACAGGCATTGCGGAATCCTCACTCCTCCAGCTGTTCTTTGGTCTCCAGCTCACTGCTAGACAAATTTCCTAACCTTCTTTGTCTGCTCTTGCATTCCTTTTGCTGTTTTCTTGAGGACCTTTTCTTCTCAAAAAGGCCATGACTTGGAAGTCTATGTTTGGGTTCCTTTTTCTTTGCATAATCTAAAGAATCATAAATCATGCCAAAG